GCAATGGGACCCATAGTGGTGCAATGGGGCCCATAGGGGGCAGTGGGACCCATAGGGGTGCAATGGGACCCATAGTGGGCATTGGGCCCCATAGGGATCAATGGGACCCATAGGGGGGACATTGGGACCCATAGGGGGCAATGGGACCCATAGCGATCAATGGGGACCCATAAGGGACAATGGGACCCATAGAGATCCATGGGACCCATAGAGATCAATGGGACCCATAGCGATCCCTGGGACCCATAGAGATCAATGAGACCCATAGCGATCAATGGGACCCATAGCGATCAATGGGACCCATAGGGATCAATGGGACCCATAGCGATCAATGGGACCCATAGAGATCAATGGGACCCATAGAGATCAATGGGACCCATAGAGATCCATGGGACCCATAGCGATCAATGGGACCCATAGGGATCAATGGGACCCATAGCGATCAATGGGACCCATAGAGATCAATGGGACCCATAGCGATCAATGGGACCCATAGAGATCAATGGGACCCATAGAGATCCATGGGACCCATAGAGATCAATGGGACCCATAGAGATCAATGGGACCCATAGCGATCCATGGGACCCATCGCGATCAATGGGGCCCATAGAGAGCCAATGACTGCGCCCGCTCTAGCTGCTGGCCCCGCCTCCTGCCTGACGTCACTTCCTGCCGCCGGGCCATCACTCACTTCCGCTTCCGGCAGGGGCCGGCCCGGAAGTGACGCGCGGCGGCCGCGGCGCCGGAGGTCGCTGCCGGTGGGGCCCTATGGGGTCTATGGGGCTATGGGGGGTCTATGGGGTGTCTATGGGGGTTCTATGGGGTGTCTATGGGGCTATGGGGGGTCTATGGGGTGTCTATGGGGCTATGGGGTGGCTATGGGGGGGTCTATGGGGGGATATGGGGGTCTATGGGGTGTCTATGGGGTGTCTATGGGGCTATGGGGGGTCTATGGGGTGTCTATGGGGCTATGGGGTGGCTATGGGGGGGTCTATGGGGGGATATGGGGGTCTATGGGGTGTCTATGGGGTGTCTATGGGGCTATGGGGGGTCTATGGGGTGTCTATGGGGCTATGGGGTGGCTATGGGGGGGTCTATGGGGGATATGGGGGTCTATGGGGTGTCTATGGGGTGTCTGTGGGGCTATGGGGCGTCTATGGGGTGACTATGGTGGTCTATGGGGAGATATGGGGGGTCCATGGGGAGATATGGGGGGTCTATGGGGTGTCGGGGTTCTATGGGGTGTCTGTGGGGCTATGGGGGGGTCTGTGGGGGGATATGGGGGTCTATGGGGTGTCTATGGGGTGTCTGTGGGGCTATGGGGGGTCTTTCGGGTGACTATGGTGGTCTATGGGGAGATATGGGGGGTCTATGGGGAGATATGGGGGGTCTATGGGGTGTCGGGGTTCTATGGGGTGTCTGTGGGGCTATGGGGGGGTCTGTGGGGGGATATGGGGGTCTATGGGGTGTCTATGGGGTGTCTGTGGGGCTATGGGGGGTCTTTCGGGTGACTATGGTGGTCTATGGGGAGATATGGGGGGTCTATGGGGAGATATGGGGGGTCTATGGGGTGTCGGGGTTCTATGGGGTGTCTGTGGGGCTATGGGGGGGTCTGTGGGGGGATATGGGGGTCTATGGGGTGTCTATGGGGTGTCTGTGGGGCTATGGGGGGTCTTTCGGGTGACTATGGTGGTCTATGGGGAGATATGGGGGGTCTATGGGGAGATATGGGGGGTCTATGGGGTGTCGGGGTTCTATGGGGTGTCTGTGGGGCTATGGGGGGTCTATGGGGTGACTATGGTGGTCTATGGGGAGATATGGGGGTCTATGGGGGCCTATGGGGTGTCTATGGGGCTATGGGGGGTCTGTGGGGGTCTATGGGGGGTCTATGGGGTGTCTATGGGGCTATGGGGTGGCTATGGGGGGGTCTATGGGGGGATATGGGGGTATATGGGGTGTCTATGGGGCTATGGGGGGTCTATGGGGTGACTATGGTGGTCTATGGGGAGATATGGGGGGTCTGTGGGGTCTATGGGGAGATATGGGGGGTCTATGGGGTGTCTATGGGGGGTCTATGGGGTGACTGTGGTGGTCTATGGGGAGATATGGGGGGTCTATGGGGTCTATGGTGCTATAGGGATTTATGGGGGTTCTATGGGGGGGTCTATGGGGAGATATGGGGGTCTATGGGGGTCTATGGGGTGTCTATGGGGCTATGAGGGGTCTATGGAGAGATATGGGGGTCTATGGGGGTTCTATGGGGTGTCTATGAGGCTATGGGGGGTCTATGGGGTGTCTGTGGGGGTTCTGTGGGGGGTCTATGGGGGGATATGGGGGGGATATGGGGGTCTGTGTGGGGTCTAGGGGGTTCTAGGGAGGTCTATGGGGTGCTATGGGGGTCTATGGGTGTCTGTGGGGGTCTAAGGGGGGGTATGGGGGGATATGGGGTTTGGGGGGTCTATGGGGTGGCTATGGGGGTCTATGGGGGGATATGGGGTGGCTTTGGGAGTCTATGGGGCTATGGGGGTTCTGTGGAGTGGCTATGGGGGTCTATGGGGTGGCTATGGGTGTCTATGGGGGTCTATGGGGTGGCTATGGGTGTCTATGGGGGGGATGTGGGGGGGCTATGGGGTGCTACGGGTGTCTGTGGGGGGCTATGGGGGTCTGTGGGGCTATGGGGGTTCTATGGGGGGTCTATGGGGTTCTATGGGGGGATGTGGGGGTCTGTGTGGGGTCTGTGTGGGTCTATGGGGTGCTATGGGAGGCTATGGGGGTTCTATGGGGTGCTATGGGGGTCTATGGGACTATGGGGGTCTATGGGTGTCTGTGTTGGTCTATGGGGCTATGGGCGTTCTATGGGGTGGCTGTGGGGGTCTGTGGGGGGTCTGTGGGGCTCTATGGGGGGATATGGTTGGATATGGGGGGTCTACGAGGGGATATGGGGGTCTATGGGGCGCTATGGGGTGATATGGAGGGTCTATGGGGGGCTATGGGGTGATATGGAGGGTCTATGGGGGGCTATGGGGTGATATGGAGGGTCTATGGGGGGCTATGGGGCGCTATAGGGGTGCTGTGGGGTGCTATGGAGGTTCTATGGGGTGGCTATGGGGGTCTATGGGGTGGCTATGGGGGTCTATGGGGTGGCTATGGGGGTCTATGGGGGTGCTGTGGGGTGCTATGGGGGTTCTATGGGGTGGCTATGGGGGTCTATGGGGGGCTATGGGGGTCTATGGGGGTGCTGTGGGGTGCTATGGGGGTTCTATGGGGCGACTATGGGGGTTTATGAGTTTATTAATGAGTTCATTCACGACTGTTAATAAGGGCCAATTGAAGGGCTCAATTAATGAGCGTTAATTAGTGCGTGTTAATGAGTGTTAATTAATTACTGTTAATTAGCATGCTAATGAGTGTTAATGAGTTTATTAAGCTTGTTAATGAATATTAATGAGTGTTATTAAGCTTGTTAATGGGTGTTGATGAGTGGTAATTAATGAGTGTTAATTCATGTGGTAATGAGTGTTGATTAATGAGTGGTAATTAATTATGTTAATTAGCATTAATGAGCCTTAATTAGCCTCTGTGAATGTTAATGGGCGTTAAGTAGCCACTGTTAATGAATCTTCATTAATGAGCGTTAATTAGCGTGTGTTAATGAGTTTTAATTAATGATGTTAATGAGCATTAAGTAATTGGCGTGTGTTTATGTTAATTAATTTTAGTTAGTGTGTTTTAATGAGAGTTAATTAGCATGTAGTAATGAATCTTAATGAGCGTTAATGAGTTTATTAATTAGCGTGTGTTAATGGGTTAATACGCATTAATTAGTGTTCATTAGCATGTGTTAATGAGCGTTAATGACTTTATTAATGAGCGTTAATTAGCGTGTTGATGAGCATTAATGACTATTAATGAGCAATAAGTAGCGTGTGTTAATGAGCGTTAATAACTATTCGTAAGTGTTTATTAGCGTGTTAGTGTTAATGACTATTAATGAGCTTTAATTAGCTTGTGTTAATGAGTATTAATGACTTTATTAATGAGCGTTAATTAGCGTGTGTTAATGAGTCTTAATGCGCGTTAATGACTTTATTAATGAGCGTTAGTGTGTGTCAATGAGCGTTAATGACTATTACTGAGAGTTAATTAGCGTGTGTCAATGAGCGTTAATGACTATTAAAGTGCGTTAATTAGCATTGAGTTTATTAATGAGCTTTATTTAGTGTGGGTTAATGTTAATGAGCGTTAATGAGTTTATTCATGTGTGTTAATCAGCATTAATGAGTTCATTAATGAGCGTTAATTAGCGTGCTTTAATGAGTATTATTGACTATTAATGAGCGTTAATTTGTGTCTTAATGAGCAATGAGTTTGTTAATGACTATTAATTAGTAAGCGTTACTGTCTTTATTAATGAACGTTAATTAGCGTCTTAATGAGCGTTAATGTCTTTAATGAGCGTTAATTTGCCTGTGTTAATGTCTTCATTAATGAGCATTAATTAGCCTGTGTTAATGACTTTATTAATGAGCATTAGCCTGTGTTAATGACTTTATTAATGAACGATAATTAGCCTGTGTTAATGACTTTATTAATGAACATTAATTAGCCTGTGTTAATGGTTTTATTAATGAGCGTTAATTAGCCTGTGTTAATGTTTTTAATGAGCGTTAATTAGCCTGTGTTAATGACTTTATTAATTCGCCTATGTTAATGACTTTATTAATGACTTTATTAATTAGCCTGCGTTAATGACTTTATTTATGATCGTTAATTAGTCTATGTTAATGACTTTATTAATGAGCATTCATTAGCCTGTGTTAATGACTTTATTAATAAGCATTCATTAGCCGGCCTCAATGAGCGTTAGCTAATGTCTGTCCGTCAATGATGCACACGCATTAATTACCGTATGCAAATGACGCGCCCCCCCCCCCCCCGGGGGTGCTCATTAGCATGTATTCAAATTAACCCCTCATTAACATATGCAAATTACCCCGCAGGCATGGGGGAGCTCAGCGACCTGGACCGTCAGATCGAGCAGCTGCGGCGCTGCGAGCTCATCAAGGAGAGCGAGGTCAAGGCCCTGTGCGCCAAGGCCAGGTCATTTGCATACCCCTCATTTGCATACACACACCCTCATTTGCATACACCCACCCTCATTTGCATACAACCCTTTTAATTGGCATAGAAACCTTGCAGGCATACCCTCGTTCGCTTCTTTAGCGTTAGCGTGCGCCCCCTCATTTGCATCAGCGTACACTGCCTCATTATATGTTGCCTAATTAGCATAGCCTCATTAGCATACACCGCCTCATTAGCATAACGTAGCGTACGCCACCTCATTTGCGTGCCCTACCTCGTTAGCATATCAGCCTCATTACTGGACACAGCTTCATTAGTGTGCACTCATTAGCATACACTGCATCATTAGCATATCCAGCCTCGTTTGAATAATCTCATCTGCATACTCTCATTAGCATACGCTGTCTCATTAGCATATGAATGTCATTAGCGTACACTACGTCATCAGCGTAGACTTATTGCAATGCACCTCCTTGTTAGCATACACTGCCTAATTAGTATATGTTGCCTAATTAGCATAGCCTCATTAGCATACACTTCTTCATTAGCATAACGTAGCGTACGCCACCTCATTTGCGTGCCCTACCTCGTTAGCATATCAGCCTCATTGGCGGACACAGCTTCATTAGCGTGCACTGTCTCATTAGCATACACGACCTCATTAGCATACGCAGCCTCATTAGAATATCATTTGCATGCCCTCAATAGCATAGACTGCCCCATTAGCGTATAGATGTCATTAGCGTAGCCAGCTCATTAGCATACACCGCATCATCAGCGTAGCCTCATTAGAATGTACCTCCTCATTAGCATACACTGCCTCATTTGTATATGTTGACTAATTAGCATAGCCTAATTAGCATACACAGCTTCCTTAGCGTAACGTCATCAGCGTACACATCATTTGCATATCAACCTCATTAGCATCTGCCCCCTCATTAGCATACCCCACTGCATTATCATACACCACATCAGTAGCATGCTTAGCCTCATTAGCATGCACTACCTCATTAGCATGCATCATATCGTTAGCATACACTGCCTCTTTAGCACACACCGCATCATTAGCATCCCGTCATCAGCATTCCCTCATTAGCATACACTTCCTCATTAGCATACATGGCTTCATTAGCATACACCACCTCAATTAACACCCCCTATAGGGTAATTAACATATCTATGGGGCAATTAACAGCCCTATGGGGCAATTAGCACCCTATGGGGCAATTAGCACCCTATGGGGTAATTAACACCCTATGGGGCAATTAACACCCCTATGGGGCAATTAGCACCCTATGGGTTAATTAACACCCTATGGGGCAATTAACACCCCTATGGGGCAATTAACATCCCTATGGGGTAATTAGCACCTTATGGGGCAATTAACATTCTATGGGGCAATTAACACCCCTATGGGGCAATTAGCACCTTATGGGGCAATTAGCACCCTATGGGGTAATTAACATCCCTATGGGGCAATTAGCTCCCTATGGGGTAATTAATACCCCTATGGGGCAATTAACATCCCTATGGGGTAATTAACATATCTATGGGGCAATTAACACCCTATGGGGTAATTAACACTCCTATGGGGCAATTAGCACCCCTATGGGGTAATTAACATATCTATGGGGTAATTAACATCCCTATGGGGTAATTAACACCCCCCATTGCCTGCAGGGAGATCCTGGTCGAGGAGAGCAACGTGCAGAGGGTGGACTCCCCCGTCACGGTGAGGGCTATGGGGCAGCTATGGGGCAGATATAGGGGGCTATGGGGTGGATATAGGGGGCTATGGGGCGGATATAGGGGGCTATGGGGCGGATATAGGGGGCTATGGGGCGGATATAGGGGGCTATGGGGCGGATATAGGGGGCTATGGGGTGGATATAGGGGGCTATGGGGTGGATATAGGGGGCTATGGGGCGGATATAGGGGGCTATGGGGCGGATATAGGGGGCTATGGGGTGGATATAGGGGGCTATGGGGTGGATATAGGGGGCTATGGGGTGGATATAGGGGGCTATGGGGCAGATATAGGGGGCTATGGGGCGGATATAGGGGGCTATGGGGCAGATATAGGGGGCTATGGGGTGGATATAGGGGGCTATGGGGCAGATATAGGGGGCTATGGGGCGGATATAGGGGGCTATGGGGTGGATATAGGGGGCTATGGGGTGGATATAGGGGGCTATGGGGCAGATATAGGGGGCTATGGGGCGGATATAGGGGGCTATGGGGTGGATATAGGGGGCTATGGGGTGGATATAGGGGGCTATGGGGCGGATATAGGGGGCTATGGGGCAGATATAGGGGGCTATGGGGCGGATATAGGGGGCTATGGGGTGGATATAGGGGGCTATGGGGCGGATATAGGGGGCTATGGGGCGGATATAGGGGGCTATGGGGCGGATATAGGGGGCTATGGGGCAGATATAGGGGGCTATGGGGCGGATATAGGGGGCTATGGGGCGGATATAGGGGCCTATGGGGCGGATATAGGGGGCTATGGGGCGGATATAGGGGGCTATGGGGTGGATATAGGGGGCTATGGGGCGGATATAGGGGGCTATGGGGCGGATATAGGGGTCTATGGGGCGGATATAGGGGGCTATGGGGTGGATATAGGGGGCTGTGGGGTGGATATAGGGGGCTATGGGGCGGATATAAGGGTCTATGGGGTGGATATAAGGGGCTGTGGGGTAGATATAGGGGGCTATGGGGTAGATATAGGGGGCTGTGGGGTAGATATAGGGGGCTATGGGGCAGATATAGGGGGCTAGGGTGGATATAAGGGTCTATGGGGTGGATATAAGGGGCTGTGGGGTGGATATAGGGGGCTATGGGGTGGATATAGGGGGCTATGGGGTGGATATAAGGGGCTATTGGGTAGATATAGGGGGCTATGGGGTGGATATAGGGGTCTATGGGGCGGATATAGGGGTCTATGGGGCGGTTATAGGGGGCTATGGGGTGGATATAGGGGGCTATGGGGTGGATATAAGGGGCTATGGGGTGGATATAGGGCGCTATGGGGTGGATATAGGGGTCTATGGGGTGGATATAAGGGTCTATGGGGTGGATATAGGGGTCTATGGGGCGGTTATAGGGGGCTATGGGGCGGATATAGGGGGCTATGGGGCGGATATAGGGGGCTATGGGGTTGATATAGGGGGCTATGGGGTGGATATAGGGGTCTATGGGGCGGATATAGGGGGCTATGGGGTTGATATAGGGGGCTATGGGGTGGATATAGGGGGCTATGGGGCGGATATAGGGGGCTATGGGGCGGATATAGGGGTCTATGGGGCGGATATAGGGGGCTATGGGGTGGATATAGGGGGCTGTGGGGTGGATATAGGGGGCTATGGGGTGGATATAGGGGTCTATGGGGCGGATATAGGGGGCTATGGGGTGGATATAGGGGGCTATGGGGTGGATATAAGGGGCTGTGGGGTGGATATAGGGGGCTATGGGGCGGATATAGGGGGCTATGGGGCGGATATAGGGGGCTATGGGGCGGATATAGGGGGCTATGGGGCGGATATAGGGGGCTATGGGGTGGATATAGGGGTCTATGGGGCGGATATAGGGCGCTATGGGGTGGATATAGGGGGCTATGGGGTGGATATAGGGGGCTATGGGGCAGATATAGGGGGCTATGGGGCGGATATAGGGGGCTATGGGGCGGATATAGGGGGCTATGGGGCGGATATAAGGGGCTATGGGGCGGATATAGGGGGCTATGGGGCGGATATAAGGGGCTATGGGGCGGATATAGGGGGCTATGGGGCGGATATCGCGGGTTATGGGGCGGATATAGGGGGCTATGGGGTGGATATAGGGGGCTATGGGGTGGATATAGGGCGCTATGGGGTGGATATAGGGGGCTATGGGGTGGATATAGGGCGCTATGGGGTGGATATAGGGGGCTAAGGGGTGGATATAAGGGGCTATGGGGTGGATATAGGGCGCTATGGGGTGGATATAGGGGGCTATGGGGTGGATATAAGGGGCTATGGGGTGGATATAGGGGGCTATGGGGCTGTGACCCCCATTGCCCCCCCCAGGTCTGTGGCGACATCCATGGGCAGTTCTATGACCTCAAGGAGCTCTTCAGGGTGAGCTGCCCCACAAGTGCCCCCCCCGACCCACAAGTGCCCCCCCCGACCCCCAAGTGCCCCCCCCCAGACCCCCAAGTGCCCCTCAAGTGCTCCTGGACCCCCTTATTGCCCCCCAACCACTTTTTAACGTCTTTTTATTGCTCCCCACCTGCCCCATAAGTGCCCCCTGCCTGCCCCATAAGTGCCCCCCAACTGCTTCTTCATATCCCCTTGTTGCCCCATAAGTGCCCCCCTGTGACCCATAAGTGCCTCCACCTGCCCCGTAAGTGCCCAATAAGTGCCCCCCAACTGCTTCTTCATGTCCCCTTATTGCCCCTACCTGCCCCATGAGTGCCCCCCTGTGCCCCATAAGTGCCCCCTCCTGCCCCATAAGTGCCCCCCTCCTGCCCCATAAGTGCCCCTGTCCTGCCCCATAAGTGCCCCCCTCCTACCCCATAAGTGCCCCCCTGTGCCCCGTAAGTGCCCCCTCCTACCCCATAAGTGCCCCCTTCTGCCCCTTAAGTGCCCCCCTCCTGCCCCATAAGTGCCCTCCTCCTGCCCCATAAGTCTCCCCGTTCTGACCAATGAGTGCTCCCTTCCTGCCCCATAAGTGCCCCCCTGTACCTGCTAAGTGCCCCCTTCTGCCCCATAAGTGCCCCCTCCTGCCCCATAAGTGCCCTCGTCCTGCCCCATAAGTCTCCCCGTTTTGACCAATGAGTGCTCCCTTCCTGCCCCATAAGTGCATCCCGTGCCCCATACGTGCCACCCTCCTGCCCCATAAGTGCCCCCCTGTGCCCCGTAAGTGCCCCCCTGTGCCTGCTAAGTGCCCCCCTTCTGCCCCATAAGTGCCCCCCGTGCCCCATAAGTGCCCCCCTCCTGCCCCATAAGTGCCCCCCTCCTGCCCCATGAGTGCTCCCTTCCTGCCCAATAAGTGCCCCCCTCCTGCCCCATAAGTGCCCCCCCTCCTGCCCCATAAGTGCCCTCGTCCTGACCAATGAGTGCTCCCTTCCTGCCCCATAAGTGCCCCTCTCCTGCCCCATAAGTGCCCTCCTCCTGCCCCATAAGTCTCCCCGTTCTGACCAATGAGTGCTCCCTTCCTGCCCCATAAGTGCCCCCCTGTACCTGCTAAGTGCCCCCTTCTGCCCCATAAGTGCCCCCTCCTGCCCCATAAGTGCCCTCCTCCTGCCCCATAAGTCTCCCCGTTTTGACCAATGAGTGCTCCCTTCCTGCCCCATAAGTGCATCCCGTGCCCCATACGTGCCACCCTCCTGCCCCATAAGTGCCCCCCTGTGCCCCGTAAGTGCCCCCCTGTGCCTGCTAAGTGCCCCCCTTCTGCCCCATAAGTGCCCCCCGTGCCCCATAAGTGCCCCCCTCCTGCCCCATAAGTGCCCCCCTCCTGCCCCATGAGTGCTCCCTTCCTGCCCAATAAGTGCCCCCCTCCTGCCCCATAAGTGCCCCCCCTCCTGCCCCATAAGTGCCCTCGTCCTGACCAATGAGTGCTCCCTTCCTTCCCAATAAGTGCCCCCCTCCTGCCCCATAAGTGCCACTCTCCTACCCCATAAGTGCCCCTCTCCTGCCCCATAAGTGCTCCCTTTGTGCCCCATAAGTGCCCCCTTTGTGCCCCACAGGTCGGGGGGGACGTCCCCGAGACCAATTACTTGTTCATGGGGGACTTCGTGGACCGGGGCTTCTACAGCGTCGAGACCTTCCTGCTGCTGCTGGCGCTCAAGGTGGGGCGGGGGGACCCCCATGTGTGGGGCAGACCCCCATGTGTGGGGCAGGACCCACGTGTGTGGGGCAGACCCCAATATATGGGGCAGGACCTCAATGTGTGGGGCAGGACCTCAATGTGTGGGGTGGACCCGCATATGTGGGGCAGGACCCCCATGTGTGGGGCAGGACCCAGAGTGTGGGGCAGGACCCATGTGTGTGGGGCAGGACCCAGAGTGTGGGGTGGATCCCAATGTGTGGGGCAGGACCCCCATGTGTGGGGCAGGACCCACGTGTGTGGGGCAGGACCCAGTGTGTGGGGCAGGACCTCAATGTGTGGGGTGGATCCCAATGTGTGGGGCAGGACCCACGTGTGTGGGGCAGACCCCAATATATGGGGCAGGACCTCAATGTGTGGGGCAGGACCCAGTGTGTGGGGTGGGTCCCAATGTGTGGGGTGGGACCTCAATGTGTGGGGTGGATCCCAATGTGTGGGGTGGATCCCAATGTGTGGGGCAGGACCCATGTGTGTGGGGCAGGACCTCAATGTGTGGGGTGGACCCGCATATATGGGGCAGGACCCCCATGTGTGGGGCAGGACCCACGTGTGTGGGGCAGGACCCACGTGTGTGGGGCAGACCCCAATATATGGGGCAGGACCTCAATGTGTGGGGCAGGACCCAGTGTGTGGGGTGGATCCTAATGTGTGGGGCGGGACCTCAATGTGTGGGGTGGATCCCAATGTGTGGGGCAGGACCCATGTGTGTGGGGCAGGACCTCAGTGTATGGGGTGGACCCGCATATGTGGGGCAGGACCCCCATGTGTGGGGCAGGACCCACGTGTGTGGGGCAGACCCCAATATATGGGGCAGGACCTCAATGTGTGGGGCAGGACCCAGTGTGTGGGGTGGATCCCAATGTGTGGGGCGGGACCTCAATGTGTGGGGTGGATCCCAATGTGTGGGGCAGGACCCATGTGTGTGGGGCAGGACCTCAATGTGTGGGGCAGGACCCAGTGTGTGGGGTGGGTCCCAATGTGTGGGGCGGGACCTCAATGTGTGGGGTGGATCCCAATGTGTGGGGCAGGACCCATGTGTGTGGGGCAGGACCCAGAGTGTGGGGTGGATCCCAATGTGTGGGGCAGGACCCAATGTGTGGAGCAGGACCCCCATGTGTAGGGTGGACCTCAGTGTGTGGATCGGAGCCCAATATATAGGGCAGGACCCAATGTGTGGGGCAGGACCCCCATGTGTGGGGCAGAGCCCAATGTGTGGCATGTGTTGGTGCCCCCTACTGCCTGGGAGGCTCCATGTGGGTCCATAGGAACCCATTGTAGGAGGCTCCATGTGGGTCCATAGGAACCCATTGGCACCCCCTTGTAGGCCCCATAGGAACCCATTGTAGGAGGCTCCATGTGGGTCCATAGGAACCCATTGTAGGAGGCTCCATGTGGGTCCATAGGAACCCATTGGCACCCCCTTGTAGGCCCCATAGAAACCCATTGTAGGAGGCTCCATGTGGGTCCATAGGAACCCATTGGCACCCCCTTGTAGGCCCCATGTGGGTCCATAGGAACCCATTGTAGGAGGCTCCATGTGGGTCCATAGGAACCCATTGGCACCCCCTTGTAGGCCCCATATGGGTCCATAGGAACCCATTGGCACCCCCTTGTAGGCCCCATGTGGGTCCATAGGAACCCATTGACACCCCCTTGTAGGCCCCATAGGAACCCATTGTAGGAGGCTCCATGTGGGTCCGTGGGGACCCATTGACACCCCCTTTGTAGGCCCCATAGGAACCCATTGTAGGAGGCTCCATGTGGGTCCATAGGAACCCATTGACACCCCCTTGTAGGCCCCATATGGGTCCATAGGAACCCATTGACACCCCCTTGTAGGCCCCATATGGGTCCATAGGAACCCATTGGTGCCCCCTTTGTAGGCCCCATAGGAACCCATTGTAGGAGGCTCCATGTGGGTCCGTGGGGACCCATTGACACCCCCTTTGTAGGCCCCCTGTGGGTCCATAGGAACCCATTGACACCCCCTTTGTAGGCCCCATGTGGGTCCATAGGAACCCATTGACACCCCCTTGTAGGCCCCATGTGGGTCCATAGGAACCCATTGACACCCCCTTTGTAGGCCCCATGTGGGTCCATAGGAACCCATTGACACCCCCTTTGTAGGCCCCATGTGGGTCCATAGGAACCCATTGACACCCCCTTTGTAGGTCCCATGTGGGTCCATAGGAACCCATTGTAGGAGGCTCCATGTGGGTCCATAGGAACCCATTGACACCCCCTTTGTAGGCCCCATAGGAACCCATTGTAGGAGGCTCCATGTGGGTCCATAGGAACCCATTGTAGGAGGCTCCATGTGGGTCCATAGGAACCCATTGGCACCCCCTTGTAGGCCCCATAGAAACCCATTGTAGGAGGCTCCATGTGGGTCCATAGGAACCCATTGGCACCCCCTTGTAGGCCCCATGTGGGTCCATAGGAACCCATTGTAGGAGGCTCCATGTGGGTCCATAGGAACCCATTGGCACCCCCTTGTAGGCCCCATATGGGTCCATAGGAACCCATTGGCACCCCCTTGTAGGCCCCATGTGGGTCCATAGGAACCCATTGACACCCCCTTGTAGGCCCCATAGGAACCCATTGTAGGAGGCTCCATGTGGGTCCGTGGGGACCCATTGACACCCCCTTTGTAGGCCCCATAGGAACCCATTGTAGGAGGCTCCATGTGGGTCCATAGGAACCCATTGACACCCCCTTGTAGGCCCCATATGGGTCCATAGGAACCCATTGACACCCCCTTGTAGGCCCCATATGGGTCCATAGGAACCCATTGGTGCCCCCTTTGTAGGCCCCATAGGAACCCATTGTAGGAGGCTCCATGTGGGTCCGTGGGGACCCATTGACACCCCCTTTGTAGGCCCCCTGTGGGTCCATAGGAACCCATTGACACCCCCTTTGTAGGCCCCATGTGGGTCCATAGGAACCCATTGACACCCCCTTGTAGGCCCCATGTGGGTCCATAGGAACCCATTGACACCCCCTTTGTAGGCCCCATGTGGGTCCATAGGAACCCATTGACACCCCCTTTGTAGGCCCCATGTGGGTCCATAGGAACCCATTGACACCCCCTTTGTAGGTCCCATGTGGGTCCATAGGAACCCATTGTAGGAGGCTCCATGTGGGTCCATAGGAACCCATTGACACCCCCTTTGTAGGCCCCATAGGAACCCATTGTAGGAGGCTCCATGTGGGTCCATAGGAACCCATTGACACCCCCTTGTAGGCCCCATAGGAACCCATTGTAGGAGGCTCCATGTGGGTCCATAGGAACCCATTGACACCCCCTTTGTAGGCCCCATGTGGGTCCATAGGAACCCATTGACACCCCCTTTGTAGGCCCCATAGAAACCCATTGTAGGAGGCTCCATGTGGGTCCATAGGAACCCATTGACACCCCCTTGTAGGCCCCATAGGAACCCATTGTAGGAGGCTCCATGTGGGTCCATAGGAACCCCTTGACATCCCCTTGTAGGCCCCATGTGGGTCTGTGGGGACCCATTGACACCCCCTTGGAGGCCCCATGTGGGTCCATAGGAACCCATTGTAGGAGGCTCCATGTGGGTCCATAGGAACCCATTGTAGGAGGCTCCATGTGGGTCCATAGGAACCCATTGTAGGAGGCTCCATGTGGGTCCATAGGAACCCATTGACACCCCCTTGTAGGCCCCATATGGGTCCATAGGAACCCATTGACACCCCTTTGTAGGCCCCATGTGGGTCCATAGGAACCCATTGACACCCCCTTTGTAGGCCCCATAGGAACCCATTGTAGGAGGCTCCATGTGGGTCCATAGGAACCCATTGACACCCCCTTTGTAGGCCCCATAGGAACCCATTGTAGGAGGCTCCATGTGGGTCTGTGGGGACCCACTGACCCCCCCCTCCGCCCCCCAGGTGCGCTACCCGGACCGGATCACGCTGATCCGGGGCAACCACGAGAGCCGTCAGATCACGCAGGTCTACGGCTTCTACGACGAGTGCCTGCGCAAGTACGGCTCCGTCACCGTGTGGCGCTACTGCACCGAGATCTTCGACTACCTCAGCCTCTCGGCCATCATCGACGGCAAGGTGGGCTAACGGCGCGGTCACGGCACGCTGGGGGCACAGACGTGCTAAGAACACGCTAAGAGCACGCTAAGAGCATGCTAAGGGCACAAACGTGCTAAGAACATGTCAAGAACACGCTAAGAGCATGCTAAGGGCACAAACATGCTAAGAGCACGTTAAGAGCATGCTAAGGGCACAAACGTGCTATGAACACGCTAAGAGCACGCTAAGGGCACAAACATGCTAAGAACATGCCAAGAACACGCTAAGAGCATGCTAAGGGCACAAACGTGCTAAGAACATGTCAAGAACACGCTAAGAGCATGCTAAGGGCACAAACATGCTAAGAACACGCCAAGAGAACGTTAAGAGGATGCTAAGGGCACAAATGTGCTGTGAACATGCCAAGAACACGCTAAGAGCATGCTAAGGGCACAAACATGCTAAGAACATGTCAAGAACACGCTAAGAGCATGCTAAGGGCACAAACATGCTAAGAGCACGTTAAGAGCATGCTAAGGGCACAAATGTGCTATGAACATGCCAAGAGCACGTTAAGAGCACGCTAAGGGCACAAACATGCTAAGCACATGCTAAGCGCAGAAACGTGCTAAGAACATGCTAAGAACATGCTAAGCGCGCAAACGTGCTAAGCACACGCTAAGCGCACAAACGTGCTAAGCGCACGCTAAGTGCAGAAACGTGCTAAGAGCACGCTAAGCGCACAAATGTGCTAAGAACATGCTAAGCACATGCTAAGCGCACAAACGTGCTAAGAACATGCTAAGCACATGCTAAGCGCACAAACATGCTAAGAACATGCTAAGCGCACAAACATGCGAAGAACATGCTAAGCACACACTAAGCGCACAAGCATTCTAGGAACATGCTAAGCACACAAACATGCTAAGAACATGCTAAGCATGCACTAAGCACTCAAACGTGCTAAGAACATGCTAAGCGCACATACATGCTAAGAACCTGCTAAACACATGCTAAGCGCACAAACATGCAAGCACCTGCTAAGCGCACAAACATGCTAAGAACATGCAAGCACACGCTAAGACCACAAAAATGCTAAGAACATGCTAAACACACAAGCATGCTATATGCGCTAAGCACACAAACATGCTAATTGCAAGCTAAGCGCACAAGCATGCTAAGAACACGCTAAGCGCACAAACGTGCTAAGGACACGCTAAGGGCACAAACATGCATAGAACACGCCAAGCGCACAAACGTGCTAAGAACACACTAAGACCACGCTAAGGGCACAAACATGCTAAGAACACACTAAGAAACATGCGGTGAACTCGCTAAGAACATGCTAAGGGCGCAAACATGCTAAGCGCACAAGCATGCTAAGAATGCGCTAAGCGCTCAAACGTGCTAAGAACACGCTGAGCGCACGAACATGCTAAGCACACGCTAAGCCCACGCTAAGCACACGTATGTTCCGTGTCCCCCCCCCAGATCTTCTGTGTCCACGGGGGGCTCTCGCCCTCCATCCAGACCCTGGACCAGATCCGCACCATTGACCGCAAGCAGGAGGTGCCCCACGACGGCCCCATGTGCGACCTCCTGTGGTCCGACCCCGAGGGTGAGGCCCCACACGCGTGTTGGGGCGTGTTGGGGCGTGTTAGAGCGTGTTGGGGCGTTTTGGAGCGTGTTGGAGTGTGTTGGGTTGTCTTAGAGCATGTTGGGGTGTGTTAGAGCATGTTGGAGAGTGTTGGGGTGTCTTAGAGCGTGTTGGGGTGTCTTAGAGCATGTTGGGGCATGTTAGAGCGTGTTGGAGCGTGTTAGGGTGTGTTGAATTATGTTGGGATGTGTTAGAGCGTGTTGGGGCATGTTGGCATGTGTTAGAGCGTGTTGAGGCGTGTTAGAGTATGTTGGGGCGTGTTAGAGCGTGTTGGGAATGTTGGGGCGTGTTAGCATGTGTTAGAGCGTGTTGGAGCGTGTTAGGGTGTGTTAAAGTATGTTGGGATGTGTTAGAGCGTGTTGGGGCATGTTGGCATGTGTTAGGGCGTGTTAGAGCATGTTAGAGCGTGTTAATGCGCGTTAGAGCGTGTTGGAGCATGTTAGAGTGTGTTGGTGCATGTTAGGGCGTGTTGGGGCATGTTGGGATGTGTTAGAGTGTGTTGGGGCGTGTTAATAGCCCATTAACCCATAGACCCATAGCTCATAACCCCATAGCCCCATAGCTCATAGCCCCATAGCCTCATGCCCCATAGCCCATTAACCCCACAGCCCCATTAACCCCATAGCCCCGTAGCCCATTAACCCTACAGCCCCATTAACCCCATAGCCCCATAGCCCCATTAACCCCATAGCCCCATTAACCCCATAGCCCATTAACCACATAGTCCATAACCCCATCGCTCATACCCCATAACCCCATCTTCACTCCATCCCCCCATATCCCCCATACCCCCCATCACCCCACACCCCCCATACCCCCTATACCCCCCATACCCCTATACCCCCATAACCCCTATACCCCCTATACCCCCCATACCCCTATACCCCCCATACCCCCCATACCCCTATACCCCCATAACCCCTGTACCCCCCCTTATCCCCTATACCCCCATACCCCCCATCACCCCCATACCCCCATCACCCCTATACCCCCCATACCCCCCTTACCCCCTATACTCCCCATCACCCCCATACCCCCATCACCCCCATACCCCCATCACCCCCATACCCCCTATACCCCCTATACCCCCCATACCCCCCTTACCCCCTATACCCCCATCACCCCCATACCCCTCATCACCCCCATACCCCCATACCCCCATTGCCCCCATTCTCCCCCATACCCCCTATACCCCCCCATCACCCCCATCACCCCCTAACCCCCCGCCCCATTGCAGACACCACCGGTTGGGGGGTGTCCCCTCGGGGGCCGGGTACCTCTTTGGCAGCGACGTGGTGGCGCAGTTCAACGCCGCCAACGCCATCGCCATGATCGGCCGCGCTCACCAGCTCGTCATGGAGGGCTACAAGTGGCACTTCAGCGAGACCGTGCTCACCGTCTGGTCCGCCCCCAACTACTGCTACAGGTGCGGCGCGCCGAGGACACGCCAAGGACACGCCAAGGACACGCTAAGGACGCGCTAAGGGGGGATAGCGACATGCTAAGGGGGGATAGAGACACGATAAGGGGGGAGAAAGACATAGATATCCAAGGATTCTATAGCTAAAAATGGATGGACATGCTAAGGACACGCTAAGGACACGCTAAGGGGGATAGCGACAGGCTAAGGACATGCTAAGGGGGGATAGAGACACGATAAGGGGGGAGAAAGATATAGATATCCAAGGATTCTATAGCTAAAAATGGATGGACATGCTAAGGACACGCTAAGGACACGCTAAGGGGGATAGCGACATGCTGAGGGGGGATAGAGACACGATAAGAGGGGATAAAGACATAGATATCCAAGGATTCTATAGCTAAAAATGGATGGACATGCTAAGGACATGCTAAGGACACGCTAAGGACGCGCTAAGGGGGATAGCGACATGCTAAGGGGGGATAGAGACACGATAAGGGGGGATAAAGACATAGATATCCAAGCATTCTATAGCTAAAAATGGATGGACATGCTAAGGACACACTAAGGACATGCTAAGGGGGATAGCGACATGCTAAGGGGGGATAGAGACACAATAAGAGGGGAGAATGACATAGATATCCAAGGATTCTATAGCTAAAAATGGATGGACATGCTAAGGACACACTAAGGACATGCTAAGGGGGGATAGAGACATGATAAGGGGGGAGAAAGACATAGATATCCAAGCATTCTATAGCTAAAATGGATGGACATGCTAAGGACACGCTAAGGACACGCTAAGGGGATAGCGACAGGCTAAGGACATGCTAAGGGGGGTAGAGACATGCTAAGGGGGGGTAGAGACATGATAAGGGGGGAGAAAGACATAGAGATCCAAGGATTCTATAGCTAAAGATGTATGGACACGCTAAGGACACAATAAGGGGGATAGTGACAGGCTAAGGACATGCTAAGGGGGATAGCGACAGGCTAAGGACATGCTAAGGGGGGATAGAGACATGCTAAGGGGGGAGAAAGACATAGATATCCAAGCATTCTATAGCTAAGGACGCATGGACATTCTAAGGACACGCTAAGGGGGATAGTGACATGCTAAGGACATGCTAAGGGGGATAGGGACACCCTAAGGACACGCTAAAGGGGTTAATGACATGCTAAGGGGGATAATGACATAGACATCTAAGCATTCTGTAGCTAAGGATGCGTGGACATGCTAAGGACACGCTAAGGACATGCTAAGGGGTGATAATGACATGCTAAGAGGGTGATAACACACATAGACATCCATTGGTTCCATAGTTAGGGACATGTTAAGGACATGCTAAGGACATACTAACATGCTAAGGACGCATTAGCAGCATGCTAAGGACACGCTAAGGGCTCTGTGGGGCTCTACGGGTCTTTATGGAGTCTATGGATCTCAATGGGTGGGGGGTCTCTATGGGGTCTCTATGGGTCTCAATAGCTCTTCATGGGGTCTCCATGGGTCCGTATGGGTCTCTATGGGGTCTCTGTAGGTCTCAATAGCTCTTTATGGGGTCTCTATGGGTCTCTATGGGGTCCCTATGGGTCTCTGTGGGTCTCTATGGGCCCCCCTGGGTCTCTCTGGGGTCTCTCTGGGTCCCTATGAGGTCTCTGTGGATCTCAATGGGTCTTTGTGGGGTCTCTATGGGTCTCTATGGGGTCTCTATGGAGTTTCTATGGGTCTTTATAGAGTCTGTATGGGTCTCTGTGGGGTCTCTGTGGGTCTCTATGGGGTCTCTATGGGTCTCTATGGGGTCTCTGTGGGGTTTCTTTGGGTCTTTATAGAGTCTGTATGGGTGTCTGTGGGGTCTCTATGGGTCTCTATGGGGTTTCTGTGGGTCTCTATGGGTCCCTATGGGTTTCTATGAGGTCTCTATGGGTCCCTATGTGTCTCTTGGGAGTCTCTATGTGTCTCTCTGGGGTCTCTATGGGTCCCTATGGGGTCTCTATGGGTCCCCATGGGGTCTCTATGTGTCCCCATGGGGTCTCTATGTGTCCCTATGGGGTCTCTATGTGTCCCTATGGGGTCTCTATGGGTCCCTATGGGGTCTCTATGGGTCCCTATGGGGTCTCTGTGGGTCCCTATGGGGTCTCTATGGGTCCCTATGGGGTCTCTATGGGTCCCCATGGGGTCTCTGTGGGTCCCTATGGGGGCCCCATGGGTCTCAGTGGGTCCCTGTGATTGGCAGGTGCGGGAACGTGGCGGCCATCTTGGAGCTGGACGAGCACCTGCAGAAGGAGTTCATCATCTTCGAGGCGGCGCCGCAGGAGACGCGCGGCATCCCCGCCAAGAAGCCCGTGGCCGACTACTTCCTGTGACGCCGGGGTCATCCTGGGGTCAACCGGGGTCATCCTGGGGTCAACCGGGGTCAACCGGGGGTCAATGGGGGTCAACGGGGGGTCAATGGGGGTCACTGGGGGTCAATGGTGGTCAATGGAGTCACCTGAGGTTAAAAGGGGTCAATGGAGGTCAATGGGAGTCAACCGGGGTCAATGGGAGTCAACCGGGGTCAATGGGAGTCAATGGGGGTCAGTGGTGTCACCTGAGGTTAACTGGGGTCAACCATGGTCAATGGGGTCAATGGAGGTCAATGGGGGTCAATGGGAGTCAATGGGGGTCAATGGGGGTCAGTGGTGTCACCTGAGGTTAACTGGGGTCAACCGTGGTCAATGGGGGTCAATGGGGGTCAGTGGGGGTCAATGGGAATCAGTGGGGGTCAATGGGATCAATGGGAGTCAATGGGGGCTCAATGGGGTCACGGGAGGTCAGAAGGGTCAACTGTGGTCACTTGACAGTGACCTTTGACCTTTAGGAACCCCCATGACCCTTAGGGTGACCCTTGACCTTTACAACCCCCATTGCCTATGGGGTGACCTTTGGGGAGCCCACGAACTGAGGTGGGTGACCTTTGACCTTTAGCGACCCCACGTGATCTATAGTGTGGGCCTAATGACCCCCATGACTTATGGGGTAACCTTTGACCTTTATGGTCTGTGACAGGTGGCCTTTGACCTTCAGAGTCCCCCTAGATCTATGGGGTGACCTTTGACCTTTGTGATCTCTGGGTGACCTTTGACCTTTGGTTGGCGCCCCCATTATTGGGTGACCTTTGACCTTATGAGCCCACGTACGGATGGGTTGACCTTTGGCCTTTAAGGTCCCTCGTGGCCTCTGTTGTGACCTTTGACCTTCGATGACCGCTCACATGCCTTTCAGGGGGGGGGGCTTTGACCTTTAGGGACCCCCGTGACCAAATGGGGTGACCTTTGACCTTCAAGACCCCTCGTTGTCTCTGTGGTGACCTTTGACCTTCAATGACCCCGTTGTGACGTATGGGGTGACCTTTGACCTTCGAGACCCCTCATTACCTCTGTGGTGACCTTTGACATTTAATGACCCCACTATGACGTATGAGGTGACCTTTGACCTTTGAGACTCCTCGTTACCTCTGTGGTGACCTTTGACCTTCAATGGCCCCATTGTGACGTATGGGGTGACCTTTGACCTTCAGGACTCCTCGTTACCTCTGCGGTGACCTTTGACCTTCAATGACCCCACCGTTCCATATGGGGTGACCTTTAACCTTAAGCGACTTCCGGCCCCCCCCCCCCCGTTCCCCCCATGACCTATGGTTGACCCTTGCCCTTACGCCCCCTTCCTGACCTCCGGTGACCTCTGCGATGACCCCTCCCCTTTCCCCTCCCCCCCCCCTTTTCTTTCCCCTTTTTTTGAGGCCGTTTCCGCTCCTTTTAGATAAAAAAAAAACACAAAAAAAAACCTCAAAAAAACCCCAAAGTGTCAAAAAATAATGGGGGGGGGGAGGGGGAAAGGGGGCGGGAGTCACGTGGCCAAACCATCATGGCGGCCTCCCCGGCGCCAACATGGCCGCCGCCATGCCGGCGCCTCGGCCACGTGCTCGAATTGGGGTGGGGGGGGGGGGGGGGGGGGGGGGGGGAAGCGAAGCAGCGTCGTGACGTCACCTTGGGTGGGTGGGCCAATCAGGACGCTGGGTGGGCGGAGCCTTTCTAACAAGCCACGCCCCTCCATTTGCTGTTCTCGTTCCTCCATTCTCGCGAGGCTCAGCGCCGGGCGGCTGAGATCTCGCGAGACTTCACCCCCCCCCTCCTCTTTTAATGCCCACCCAGAGCCGGAAGTCTCGCGAGATCTCCCCCCCCTGGTGAAGCCACGCCCCCTTCCTCCTTCCCGCCCGCCGGCCTCCCCTCACGCGTCGCCGCCATTTTGAGGCCCGGGCCCGAACCTCGCGACCGTGAGAAAACCGGGGGGGGGGGAGGGGAAATTGGGGTGGGGGGAGGGGAAATTGGGGTGGGGGGGGGAGGGGAAATTGGGAGGGGGGGGATGGGAGGGAGAGGAACCGGTAACGGGGAAAATAAAAGGGGGGGGGGGGGGGGCGGCCATTTTGAGGCGGAGCGGGAGGCGCCGCCTCCTTTTTTCCCCTCCCCCCTCCCCCTCTTTGGTTTCCCCTCCCCCCTCCCCCTCTTTGGTTTCCCTCCCCCCCCCCCCTTTGGTTTCCCCTCCCCCCCCCCCCCGGCTTCCCGGCGCCATCAGCGGCCGGCCCCCTCCCCGCGCT